TTTTAAACATTTTATTAGGGGCTCATACAACTGTTATTGCAATCCATACACACATCAATTGTGTAAAGCGCATTTGTACATCAGTTGCCCTCATCATTCTCAAAACATTTTCTCTCCACTTAAACCCCCGACATTAGGTCCTCATTTTTCCCCTCCCTCCCCGCTCCCCCCTCCCTCATGAGCCCTTGATAGTTTATAAATTGGTATTTTGTCATATCTTGCCCTGTCTGACGTCTCCCCTCCCCCAGGGAGGAGGTCACACACAGTTCCTTGTAATTGGTTCCATCTTTCTACCCATTCTCCCTTTACCCTCCCTGTTTCGCCACTCACACCACTGGTCCTGTAGGGCTCATCCGCCCTGGATTCCCTGTATTTTCAGTTCCTATCTGTACCAGTGTACATCCTCTGGTCTAGCCAGACTTGCAAGATAGAATTCGAGTCATGGTAGTGGGAGTGGGGAGGAAACATTTAGGAATTAGAGGAAAGTTGTATTTCTCATCATTGTTACATTGCACCCTGGATGGCTCATCTCCTCCCTGAGACCCCTCTGCAAGGGGATCTCCAGTGGCCTACTAATGGGCTTTGGGTCTCCACTCCGCACTCCCCTCCATCATTCACTATGGTAAGACTTTTTGTTTTGATGATGCCTTATAGCTGATCCCTTCGACACCTTATGGTTGCATAGGCTGGTGAGCTTCTTCCATGTGGGCTTTGTTGCTTCTGAGCTTGATGGCCGCCTGATTACCTTCAAGCCTTTAAGACCCCAGACGCTATACTTTTTGATAGCCGGGCACCATCAGCTTTCTTCACCACATTTGCTTATGCACCCATTTGTGATCACACAGGTTGATATGTTGTTCCATGTGGGCTTTGTTGCTTCTGGTATTTTAGATTCCTGTTGGATCTATGGGTTCCAAGATGTTCTCCCACTTGAGTGGCCTGTCTTTTCACTATTTTGGTAAAGTCTTTTGATGAACAAAGTTTTACCTCGTAATGATGTTTTAATGAACCAAAGTTTTTCATCATTACGAGGCCCCGGGCATTGATTTTGTCTCCTGCTCTTTGTGCGTTTGTGACTATATTAGATAATCCGCCATTAAAAGCTAGGTCAGACAGCATGGCCTTTGCAGATACTTCAACCAGCTTTCGGTTTTAGATTGCACATGGGGATTCTTGCTCCATTTTGAACTTAAATTCATCTTTTTCAGAGCCAAGTTCTTCATTTCTTCATTCTTTGCATTTAAAAATATTTCTTCACTGACATCCTTGGCTTGAATTCTCAGCCATAGGTTTTTCAAAACCACACAACTGGAACCAACCGCTTTATGTCAATTGTGCGGAAGCCTGCTCGTCCCCTAGTCTCTTTCTTTCTTTCTTTCTTTCTTTCTTTCTTTCTTTCTTTCTTTCTTTCTTTCTTCTTTTTGTGTGTGTAAGAGAGAACTTTATATACAAGAGCAATTGAATATTAAGAAATATCCAGATCAAGTCCATAAGTCCATAAGTCTGATTTTACCCCATATGTTAACACTCGTCCATAAGTTCCTCTTTAGACTCATGCAGCCATGCAATATTGCTGAATGTAGAAAGATCACAGGCCAGTGGGTGGAAAGTCTTGTGGATCCAGTGGCAGTGGAAGCATCTCAGCGCTGGCAGGGGTCTCCATGTGGCTCCTTCAGGTCCAGGGCTCTAGCGTAGCTCCACGTGTCTTGTCAGCTGGAATGTCTCACAGGGCCTGTGAGTGTCCTGCCTCCAGCAAGCTCTTTGTCTCCTTGGGGTCTCCAAATGAGGTCATCAATCCCCTAGTTTCTTGTTGTCCACCTTAATCAGGTTTATTTGGTGTTCCGTACAAAGGGCCCCCACTCATTTCACAGACAGAGCTTCTTCAGAGATGGAGGCAAGCACACTAACAATGAGCAGAGCACTTGCCTGGGCTTTGGCAGCTTTGTGAATCCCACGTGCTAGGCCATTCTGGATGAGGGCGGTCTTTGGCCCCTCTGGTCAAGGGCATGAGCGTGTGACACCCCCAGCAGCAAGGCCGTCCTCAGCCATGCTAGTGGTTATGGGTGGAGCTGAGTTGTGAAGGCCACCTGGGCTTCCAGCTTCTCACGACTGTTCAGCAACAGGGAAGGAGCTTGCATTTAGTTATGTGTGTGGTGTGAGGCGGGAATCCTGTTTCACTTTTCTTTTTGTGGAAATCTGCCAATTTAACTTTCTGCAGGCCTCCAGCTTACGGACAGGGACGTAGTCATCGTCCGGGTAACCTTACCCTTAATCAGCTTTTTCCATCACTGTTTACCTCCATTTTCTCTCCACTTCCACTCCTGGAGCCACTAATAAACTTTAGTTTCTGTACATTTGCCGTTTCTTCATATATACATATATGAAGTCATGTAATTACTATCTGTTTGTGATTGACTTATTTCAATCAGCATAATGTCTAACTCAATCTTCAAGCTCAATCGTATAGCATGTACCACCATTTCATTTCTCTCACTGGCTGAATAGGCGATGGGATGTATGTACCACAAGAAGACAACCTTTTTTTGAGCGCAGGGTACAACAGCAGGGCAGAAACAACTCAGAAAATATTTGCTCAACAAAGATCCCTCCCCTTAAGGGATGTCTCTCTTCTGCTGGGCAGCAAGATGTGTAGACCAGGAACAAAGGCAAGCATTTCCCTTTCTCTGATGATCTCTAAAGCACTTTCACTGTGTGCTAATTTCAGCTGTTTCTCATAGATAGAGAACTACCATCACTACCCTCAGTGGATTCCCATTCAAAGTCACCAGGTGGGGTAGGGTGGAACCACCCCATAGGGTTGCCAAGACTGTCAAACTTGAGGGAAAGCTCCTTTCTCCAGAGGAGCTGTTGGGGGGTTTGAATTGAGGACATTTCAATGAGCAGCTGAGTGCTTTAACCACTGCACCACCCGCACTCCTCAGAAGTAGGACAGACCTCTTTAGTGTTCTGTCTGCTTTTCTTTTTTCTTTTTTTTTTTTTTTTCTGTCTGCTTTTCAAAGGAGGAATTGGAGACTCAGAGAATTGCCTGCCCAGAGTCATCAGAGAGTAGGCCAAGGAGCCTAGATTCAGAAGCAGGTTTTAGGCGTTAGCATCCTGTCAAGCATACCGGTTGCAAGGTCAGACCTGGAGGTCTGGTTCCTGAGTGAGGGCCTCAGTGCTCTGGCTTTGCAATCAACCAAAGTGTTTATTAAACACTGGACTCCCAGCCTCCACCCTCTACCAGGTGCAAAGTAATTTCTTAGGCTGGAATTCAGGAATTAGCATTTTTAACAGTCATACTTAGGGATGCTAATGTACTTTCAAGTTTGAGAACTGGTAGAGTGAGAGTGAGAGAGAAAGAGAGAGAGAGAAGAGAGGTAGACTTGTCCCTGTGGGTTTTCCAAGATTGCTAACTCTTTATGGGAGCAGAAAGCCTCATCTTTCTCCTGTGGGCATGCAGAGCGGGGAGCAAATAGATTTGAGGAGGTTTCTGGAGAAGGTGCCTGGGAGCTTGGCTCTATGAGGGCAGGGCCGAGAGGCACGGGAGGAGAGGGACACAGTAGGTCTGTTGGGTGGAGTCAAGCTTGGGCCTTGCCTCATCTCTTTTCATTGTCATCATGATTATCCTTATCATCCTTCCCTCAAAACCTCAGTAGTCTTTTCATGGCTCGCGCTCGGTAGAACTTTGTGCTTTCTGGGAATGGGGAGGTGGCATCCATGCAGATGTGAATTGTTAGTATGTAAAGGACACATAGACAGAGCTGGTAAGGAGAGGGCACCCAGTCACAGACCGAGATGGGGTGGCCAAGGTGGGTAAACAGGAAAGGATCTAGCATCTTAGGCACATGGGAAAGGAGGTGCAAAGAATATCGTCATAGGCAGATGTAAACATGCTGCAAAAAGGCATAGATTAACAAGGATGATATAAACCTGGCCGGAGACGGCTGTGACGAGGTAGCAACACATAATCAACTACACAGTAAACCTCACACAGAAATGGGAGGATGCAAAGAGCAGATGTAGATGGATAGGTCTGGTGGGGGACATATGCGGTTAAGGATGGACTCAGGTGGTTTCTCAGAGCTGACGGGACTCTGAGCAGGCTAACTCCTTGATCCTGCTGAGATGGGGGAGGGCTACATTTCATCCAGCAGGCGCTACAAGAGGGCCTAGTGGCGCAGTGGTTACAGTGCCCGGCAACGAACCGATAATTCCCACGAGCCACTGGGAAAGGCGGGGAGGAGAGAGACACGAGTTATAATCCACGGACACCCTAGTTTCGACATCTATAAAAGGATGCTAAGAGCAGAAACCAACTTGGTGGCAGTGGGTTTATGTAGGTCTGGGGCTATGCCCTACTTCTAAGGCCCACTGGTTGCTAGAAATGCTCCTTGTAACACCAACGGTGGTCACATTCCAGCCCTCAGATGGTTTATTATTGGGCCGCAGCCCAGCTTCTTTCTGGTTTGCAATCCAGTTTCGGAGAGTTTCCCGGCTTTCTCGAGGGTCCCTCACTCTCAGATCAAACCCACTCAGGCGCTTCCGTTCATTTACAGACTGCTTCCCCTTTAATCTAGCTTGCTCAGTCCTCCACCTTCCCAGAGTCCCTCTCACTCCCGACAGCACTTGCAGTTTCTAAGCGCACCACATCTCCCATAAGTCACAGCGCTCCAGCTGCTACTCTAAGGAACTTCAAAGCCCGAAATGCTCTCCTGCCACGCTCCGTAGCTACCGCGGTGCCCTATGGGGCTTGTAGTCATCTGGGGATTGTCAGGCGACCCAAGCGAACTACTGATCCCAGAGTCCTCGCGTCAGAGGCGGGATTCCCCCTGGCCTTTGCGCGCGCCCCTTAGTCGCCTTTCGGACTCCATCTCCCGCTGTGCTTTGCGCTGAGCTCTGGGTGGCGGACTATGTGTCCATGGTCGACGTGCTTTCTGGGAATTGTAGTTCTTATATTAGTGAGGCGATGAGGAGGCGGAGTGACTCGGCGGCCATTAGCTGTGTGTAGTTGCCCGCGACTGGGAGCCTAAGTGAAGAGGTAGTCCTTATTCGGTGGAACTCAACTGTAGCCATGGGTTCCTCCTGGGGCCAGCCCTAGAGTCCGGAGCAGACGTGTTCTCCGGTTCCGCGCCCTGCCGAGTGGCGTGGCCCACTAGGCCTCTGGGCATCCCCGGTCTCCAGTAGGCCTCATCTGCCGGCAAGGGCGCACCAAAGGCGGGAGGCGCCATGTCGCTGGTTGCTTACGCCAGCAGCGATGAGAGTGAGCCAGATGAGGCTGAGCCGGAGCCAGAGGAAGAGGAGGCGCCGACCCCCACACCCGGGCCCACTGTAGGGGGCTTGTTCGCTTCTCTACCTGCACCCAAGGGTCCGGCCTTGCTGCCCCCGCCTCCCCAGATGCTGGCCCCAGCCTTTCCTCCGCCGCTGTTGCTGCCCCCACCCACAGGAGACCCCCGCCTTCAGCCTCCTCCACCTTTGCCCTTCGGCCTGGGCGGCTTCCCTCCACCTCCAGGCGTGAGCCCAGCAGAGGTGGCGGGAGTTGGGGAGGGACTGGGATTGGGGTTGCCCTCGCCCCGAGGCCCTGGCCTTAGTTTGCCCCCACCTATCGGTGGTGCCGGGCCCCCCCTGGGGCTTCCCAAGCCAAAGAAGAGGACAGAACCCGTGAAGATCGCGGCACCGGAGCTGCACAAGGGGGATGTGAGTATTCGGGGAGGGTACCCCCCAAACTGTGCATCGGGTTTGGACATGTAGGAGGGACTTGTGGAGATTACAGGACTCCTCATAAGCACATCCGTTGGCTCCAAACTTCTGAAATCCTCAAAGCGATTAATTGGACGGAAGGCTGTCAACTTTGGGAAGTTAGGATACATGTCCCGAAGCTGGCCTGACCTGCAGACGGCCACAAATCCTTAACCCCGGAAATGACAGGCCCAAACCCGGGGCATGTTCCAGCATCTTCACCCCAGGACAACACTCTTGCCTCCGCCCAGAAAGGGAACAGAGTGGAATCTGAAAAAGTGACCGGAGATAGGACTCCTGGGCCTTTGCTGAACACGTAGGACCAACTTTTGCCATTGCCTCGGAGATAGAGACCTTAGAGCAAAACCAGAGCTGAATGATGGTGTTATCGAGAAGGATCAGGTCTAGCGGCACATGCTTGGAAATCTTGAATTCTTGAGGAAGGATAGGGAAGAAACTATTTGTTGAGAACACAGGTCTTTTGCCAGAGGGGAGCCCTTCAGGACACCGGGAGGTAGGGTGTGACTTTTACGGATGAGTGGTAGGCACCCAGCGGGTGGGTCACCCCTTCCTTACCTGGCAGAGGACAGAGGGAAGACTGAGGCTGGGTCTGTCTGACGTCCAGATGGGTGCCCCAGTGGCACCATGTAGACACCATCGAGCCGACAAGTCAGTTCGGGTGCTGGAGGGCTACTTGGAGAAGAACGGAGGAAGCTTGTGAGGTGTCTGATACTTAGAGGTGGAAGAGCCCCGCCAGACCTCTTTTGGATTGGGAGCTTGGAGGTTTCTCGGGGTAGGTAGTGCCTCTCTCCTCCAATGGATCACCCTGATTTAAAATTGCGAATTAAGTACAGGTTTACAGAGCGCATCGGTTCTCTCTGCCACAATTCTAATACATTTTGTCCCGTGGTTCCGATCCCCACAGTGTAACATCTCTTCCCCTAGTTCCTCCCTGTGTTGCTTGTTTCCATTCCTCCTGCTTTTCTGACCCTTGTGCACATTGCCCTGGGGTCACTGCTGCCCTGCTGTTCACAGTGGGTGATAACTCCTTAGCGTTACTATTCCCCTTGCGGACTTGTCTGTGGTTTAGTTTAAAATGCAGCCACGGGGAGGAGTTCAGTTCCAGGCCTGAAACGTGTCTAAGCAACATGGTCTAAAGGCCAGAGCGTCTTGGGTGGGGGTGTGGGGGTGTGGGGTCCACATGTCTCTAGTTGACCAGTAAAGTCCCCCGAGACCATGGCCCTTCGCCTCCAAGCCGAGCAACTAATTCCCTCCAAATATTGGGTTATGTCTAAGAAGTTTTCATAACTTTGCCCTCTGCATGCTCCCCTACATTCATGGAAATGTTTGCCGCAAAGGTAAATAAACGTACACAAATGTCCCCTGTCAGACCGACAGGTATTCATGGGTACACTCCCACTTGCTCACATTCATCCAGCCCATGACGTTCACCATTACTGCAGCATTGTGTGGATCACAGCATCTGCCACGGTTGCCTTTCCTCACAAGCCCCTCCTAGTGGCTTCCCCGGTCTCCATCATTCTTTGCTGCCCTCCCTCACTAAATACTGCCTTTCCCTTCACCCAAGGTAGCCCGTGTCCTCCCCTGGCTCACCTTTGAAACCCCTTAGAGAGGAGCTAACTCTTCCTTGCTTTTCTTTTACTTTTTTTTTCTTCATGTGTATAAGAGAGCTTTATACCAAGAGTAAATGTATATTAAGGAAACATCCTAGTCCAGTCCAGATCAAGTCCTTAAGTCCAATATTAGCCTATATGTCCCATACCAGTTTATAAATTCCTCTTCAGACTCATACAACACATGCAATGACACCAAATGCAGGAAGATCACAGGCCAGTGGGTGGAAAGTCTTGTGGATCCAGTGGTGGTAGAAGCATCTCAGTGCTGGTGTGGGTCTCCACATGGCTCCTCGAGCTCCAGGGCTCTGGCTCCATCAGCATGGCTCCGTGTGGCTTGTCAACAGGATTGTCTCGCAGAGAGAGAATGTGTCCCACCTCCAGGGAGGAAGATCGGAGTTCCCAGAATACTCAGAAGGCCATGCCTATACAGAGGCCTCATTGGCCTGATTGACAGGCTAGACTTTGCAGGTTGACAGGCCAAACTTTTATTTATTTTTTGTGATCCTTTTATTGAGGGCTCTTGCAACTCCTATTATAATCCATACATCAATTTTAACAGGCATATTTGTACATATGTTGGTATTTTCTAGACGGCTACTTTCCATTGAGCCCTTGGTATCAGCTCCCCCCCCCCATGAGCCCTTGATAGATTATAATTTATTATTATTTTCATATCACACCGACTGTTCTCTCCCTTGCACCATGGTTTCTGTGTTTCTTCCCCCCTGGAGGGATGTGTGTGGTTTTGTGTTGATCATTGTGATCAGTTCCCCCTCCCACTCCCCTTCTCCCTACCCTTCTGGTATCCCTATTTTCCTTGCTTTTCTTAAGTTTTCCAACTTCCTAGGGGCTGTTGGCAGTTTTTGCACTTGCTGCCCCTCCGTGTTCTCTCCCAGCGACCCACCCTCATTCACATCTCTCCTTAGCAGCTGTGCTCCTGCTGAGGGTCCTCGAGCCACTAGGAGCCCCGGTGACTCAGTTGTTAACATGCTCAGCTGCCATCCCTAAAGGCGTAGGTTCCGAACCACCAGTTGCTCTGTGGGCTTCCGTATCGGGCAGTTCTACTGTGTCCTTTCGGGTCACAATAAGTCACAATTGACTAGGTGGCAATAAAAAGGCCAAAAGTCAATTCTGACTCATGGTGACCCAAATGGACTGGGTAGAACGGCCCCCGTGGGTTTCTGAGACTGTTAACGCTTTTCTTTTTTTAGATCATTTTATTGGGGGTTCCTACAGCTCTTATCACAATCCATCCATCCATTGTGTCAAGTACATTTGTACATTTGTCGCCATCATTTTCAAAGTACTTTCTACTTGAGCCCTTGGTAGCAGTTCATCATTTTTCTCCCTTTCTCTCCCACCCTCATTCCCTCATCCTTGATAATTTATAAATTACTATTTTTTCTTATCTTAAATTGACCGACGTCTCCCTTCACCCACTTTCCTGTTGTCTGTCCTCCAAGGAGGGGGTTATATGTAGATCATTGTGTTCAGTTCCTCCTTTCTCCCCCACCTTCCCCTTCCCCTCCAACTGTTAACCCTTTACGGGAGTAGAAAGCCTTATCTTTTTTCCAGGTCATGCCTGATGCTGGACTTGTGAGCAGCCCGGTGTGTAGCCACCATCCCACCAGGGCTCAGTAAGTTAGAATGATCACTACTCTCCATGGGCCCTTCTTTTTATTATACTCCATAGCTCAAACCACCGTCAGACTTACTCTTTATTTTGTCTCTCTCTTCACTAGAGAATAAGCTCTGTGAAGGCAGGGACCTTGTTTAGTTTGCTCACTGCACTATTCCTAGTGGGTAAGATGTGCTTGCAAGTGTGAAGTACGGTGCAACTGGTTTCTGACAGTGATCAACTTGGATGAAGAAAGCTTTTTTTATGGAAGGAGGTTCTAGGGTCTCTCTCATGCAAAACTCTTCCCTACCACTTCTTCCTTCTTTTGCAACTAACTCTGTTATCGCCAAGTCTAGGATCCCAAAACAACCTGCTATTGCTTCATCAAAACCTAGCTTGACCTTGGTTTATGCTGCGGCAGAGGAAGGGCCCTAAGTGACACACAGGAAAATAAGCCGATTTCCTCGACCACCTCTGTATGCTCATCTCCGCTCCCCCTCCCCCCCGCCCATACATGTTACCCTAGCCTGACTGAGGTGCTGGGGAGAAGATGGCGGTGCCATGAGCCAGCCTCCCTCGCTCCACAGAGGCAATGAGAAGGCTCCTCCTAGCTCGTAATAGAAGAAGCTGGCAGGGACTGTTTAAGCACCCTCAGAACTTGGCTGAAGTGGAGGAGAGCTCCTGTCTGCGCCCTTCTTTTGTCAGTGGAAGCCACTTAATTCCTGAGGTGAGCAGTGACGTGGGTGACGGAAACAAGCCCGAATCCTAGCCCTCGGGTGGTTGTGCACCTCGGTGTGGTTGCATTGAAGTCGGCCTGTTTGCTTTCTGAGTCCTGGGGAAAGGTAGTCCGCAGAGTGTTTGAGATGGCCAGAGGATGGTCACGAAGTTGTGCTCCCTCCAGGTTGAAGCCATTCTGGCCCCAGCCCTGCATCCTCTACTGTCAGCTCGTGGCGGAGGCTTGGAGGAATAGATCCCGTTTCCTTGGTTTCCGGTTGGAGTTTGGTGCTGAAGTAGAAGACAAGAAACGCTGAGTTCTTTTTTTTTTTTTTTAATTTCATTCATTCAATCAATCTTGAACTGCTCTCTGTGCTGCGTGCTGAGAATATGGTACGGAACGTGATAGGTAGGCCCTGCTGAAGAGGAGCTTGTGGTCTACTGGGGCCACAGACAAGGCAAGTCAGAGAGGAGCCATGATCGAGTCAGACACTACCACAGTGTTGGGAGGTCGGGAAGACTTCCAGGAAGGGATGTCTAACAGACAGAGAACAGAGGAGGAGGAGGAAGCCTGGGAGAGCGTGGGTGGGAGCAGCACAGGAGGCAGAGGGAACGGCATGTCCCCATACCTGGAGGTGAGAGAGTGAGCATGCTTTTGCCAGACCTCCAGTGAGCAAGCTAGAGTCTGGAGTAGAAGGGGTAGTGGTGGGGGATGGGGCTGAAGAGAAGCAGTGGCCAGATGCTGAGCTTGGTCCTTGGTTCTGGGGTAATGAGGAACCCTTAGAGTCTCTTGGCTTACAGCACCTGAGAAGGCTTGTAGGAGGCATGGCTGGCAGGGAGGATGGCAGTCCAAGTGAGGGAGGGGCAGGAGAAAGGAGAAGCCTGGAGCTGCACGCTGTACAGAAGTGATCAGAGGCTGTGGGGCGGCAGCGAAGTCAAGGATGGCCTTGTCTTGGCTCTGGGAGGGTGATGTTTTGTTGTGCACTGAG